GATCTACTCTTTTAGCAGATTTCAAGGATGCAACATGCTATTAATGATAGCGACCATACTCTACATTAGAGACCCAGAACTTACCCATCCTGCATAGCTCAAACTTTGTAGCCTTTGGCCAACATTTCCCCATTTTCCCCACCCCCAACCCCTGACAACCATCGTTATACTTTCTGCTTCTGTGAGTTTTACTTTTTCAGATTTCACATGTTAAGTGCGATTATGCAGTATTTGTCTTTCTGTATTTGGCTTGCTTCGCTTAGCGTAATACCCTCTGTGTTCATCCATGTTGTAGTGTATAACAAGATTTCCTTCTCTCTCTCTGTCTCTCTCTCTCTCTCTCCCTCTAAGACTATTTTTTTTTAGAGCAGTTTAAGGTTCACAGCAAAATTGAAGAGAAGGTATAGAGATTTGCCATATATGCCCTGCCCCACACGTATACAGACTTCCTCATTAGCAACATCCTCTAGCAGAGGATAATGTAATATTTGTTACAATTGATGACCCTATATTGACACATCATAATCACCCAAAGTTTGTAATTTACTTTCGGGTTCATGCTCGCTGTTCTACATTCTTTGGGTTTGGACGAATATATAATGACATGTATCCACCATTATGACATCACACAGAGTATTTTTACTGCCCTAAAAATCCTCTGTGACTCCTTATTCATACTCTCCTCCCAGTCTCATGGCAACTACCGAGCTTTTTATTGTCTCCCTAGTTTTGCCTTTCCTAGAATGTCATATAGTTGGGACATACAGTGTAGTTTTTTCTGATTGGCTTCTTTCTCTTAGTAATATGCATTTAAGTTTCCCCCATGTCTTTTCATGTCTTATAGCTCATTTCTTTTTTCAGGGATGAATAGTATTCCACTGTCTATATGTATGACAGTATAAATATCCATTCACTTACTGAAAGACATTGTAGTTGCTTTCAAATTAGGCAATTATGAACAAAGCTGCTATAAACATTTGTGTCAGGTTTTTGTGTGAACATGTTTTTGACGCCTTTGAGTAAACGCCAAGGAAGACAATTGCTGGTTCATAGGATAAGGGTATATTATGTTTAGTAAAAAACTGCCAAACTATCTCTCAAAATAGCTCTACCATCGTAGCAATGAATGAGAGCTCTTGTTGTTAAATGTCTTTATCAGCATTCGGCGTTTTCAGAGTTTTGTGTTGTGATTGTTCTAACAGGTCTGATTTTCTTAAGAGCCAAATTGATGTATATTCAGAATTACATATGCACATATACGTATAAGCTCTTTTTTTTTATCCATTCATCTACCAGTGGACACTTTTGTTGATTCCATATCTTGACTTTTGTGTATAATTCTGCAATGAATATGGGAGCTCAGATATTGGTTTTGGATACTGATTTAATTTCCTTTGGACCTATACTCAGAAATGGGATTCCTGAATCATATGACAGATCTACTTTTAATTTTTTTTAATGAATCTCCATACTGTTTTCCATATGGCTGTACCAATAGAATTGTGTAACTTTTTTTAAATCAAGAATTTAAGAGTTATTCTTTACTTAAAAAAAGATTTTATTTTTTTATTTATTTGACAGAGAGAGAGAGAGAGAGAGAGAGCACAAGCAGGGGAGGGGCAGAGGAAGAGGCCGATGCCCTGCTGAGCAGGGAGCCTGACGCCCACCCACCCGAGGATCATGACCTGAGCCGAAGGCAGACACTTAACCGATTGAGCCACCCGGGCACCCCTTAAGAGTTATTTTATTTAGTTTCTAAGCTTATGGGAATTACTGAAACTATCTTTTTGTTAAAATTTCTAATTTTACTGTGAAATGGTGGAGAATATAGTTTGTAGTCTGTTGATTTTTGGAATTTATCGACATTTCTTTGTAACTTAATTCATGATCTATTTCTGTAACTGTTTCAAGTATGCTTGAAAAGAATCTGTTTTTTTCCTGTGGCTTAATTTCCACATTCATGAAACAGGAAGAACGGAAAATGTCTGACTCCTTTGATTTTTGTTTTCAAGTTTGCAGAACTAAAGACCAAACTGAAAGACAGAAAAATAGTACATTTGTTCTCTTTGGCTCTCTATTTTGCAACCTAACAATGGGTATACAACTTGACACAAGTAAACACCATAGGGGAAACAGAAAAAGGAAAATATCTGTCCTTCCTGAAAATAGATTTGTTACCACTGGGTAACAGGTGCTTAATCCTCTGTGGGGGCACATTTCCAGCCTACAGAGAGGAAAGAAACACAGTGGAGGCGTAGTCATCTGTGATAGTGATTCTGATCTGTGCTCGACTTTTCAGGCCCCTGGCTTTAGACATTTATGAGTGAAGCTAAAAATTTGTTGAGCTGCTCCGAAGTATCATTGTATGGTAATGTGGGACGGTGATCCTGCAGTGAGCTGACTGTGGCCAGGTGGCTAGTCGCTTAGGGACACCATAAACACTCATCTAAATTTGCCATTGGAAGAGGAATTTAACGATTGGGGCTTCACCTTATGGATTTAAGTCAGATCCTTAATAACCAGCCTCTTAAGTTGCTCCCCATCTGGACTCCATGCCCCTCTGCTCCTGCACTAACTCTTCTCTTGCTGCCTCTTACGCTCCTTTCTTCTCTTCTGTGAACTCTCATGAAACTCACTGTTGGTTCCCCCCACCTTCCTTGGACATCATCAATGTCTCCTTCTAGTTCCCAGAAGATCTCAAGCATTTGCAAATAGGACAAGTCATTAGGAAGTGTTTTAAGCTAGGTAGTTTTATATGGATGTGCTTTGTGCCATATATTTCAACTTCGGTAAATGTTTGAAAATTACCAAAGTTTATAGCTGGAAAAATAACACCCAAAAGTCTGTAATCTCAGCTATTGCTAGGATCGCAAGAGGTCTGCACTTTATCTAGATGAAGGCAGAGAATGTTGCTAATACCTGTCCACATACAAATGATAAATCTTGCCCAGGAAAGGAAAGCAGTTCCAGAGGAGAAAAAAGAAAAAAGAGGAAGAGAGGGAAGAGAGTACTAGGAACTCAGGAGTATCAAGTGGGAGGTGGCAACAGAATGATTTGCCAATGTTTTGACTGTCATTAGAACAACAGACTCTTGGGTGCCCAGGTGGCTCAGTGGGTTAAAGCCTCTGCCTTCAGCTCAGGTCATGATCTCAGGGTCCTGGGATCAAGGCCCACGTCAGGTTCTCTGCTCAGCAGGGAGCCTGCTCCCCCCCCCCACTTTCTCTGCCTGCCTCTCTGCCTACTTGTGACCTCTCTCTCTGTCAAATAAATAAATAAATAATCTTAAAAACAACAACAGACTCTTCACCACACATGGCTGTGTGGTAAACTGTGTATTGGAAAGGGCATGAAATTGGAAGGACCTGGTTAGAATTCAGGTTTTGCTATATATATTAGCTGTGAAATTTTGGCTAAGACATTTGTCCACTTTGATTCCACAGTCTTCACATATGTAAAATGCTAATAATAGGGGCCTGGGTGACTCAGTCTGTTAAGCTTCTGCCTTTGGGCTTGGGTCATGATCCCAGGGTCCAGGGATCAAGCCCCACATTGGGCTCCCTGCTCAGTGGGGAGCCCGCTTCTCCCTCACCCTCTGCCTGCCACTCCCCTTGCTTGTGTACTCTCTCTGTCAAATGAATAAAATCATTAAAAAAATAAAATGCTAATAGTAATAATACTTGCCACCCATGTAAAAAAAATTGTCTCTATTGGCATAATAAAATGGTATATTGGTGTAGTAACACATTGGTCACAAAAATTAGGTTTTGAGGAGTGAGGTTTAGAATTGCTTTCCATTGATTTGCTTACAAAGACTTTCATCCTCCACTAGAGGTGTTGGTTAAGAAAACCTTTACAGAAATAATGATATTTGAGATATTTTTCCCGTTACCATCAACCAATTTTTATGAGGTGTATGACTTTCTGCAGATATCACCCAATTGATTTAAAAGTGAATCAATGAATGTGTTTATTGATTGCCTTATTTCATAAAGGAATTCAGGAATGACCCTCCTTCTGATATTCTGTTATGTCTCTATATTTGGGTCATGCATTTGTTTTGCCTTCCAAATGAAAAATGTGAACTCAGCAGGTCACTCCCCAGTAACAGCTGTTCTCTTTTTAGAATGTCTTTCTGTACTGTGGAAGCTGGAAAACTGCAAACTACATGCCCCAGACACCCTTGCTGCACATGGTCTACGAAATAGGTTTCACCAATTGCATACATCAGAGTAAGATTTGAGGTGCTGTTTTAATGCTGCTAGCAAATACAGCTGTGGAGACCTTGGTTTTTCTGCAGCAGTGTTTCAATGTCCGGTCACTTGATCTGTCAGTGTCGAGAAGAGGTAGGGACTGTGGAGTGGTGGCTTCCCAACTCGGCTTTGCCGATTGTGGTCAGTTAGGTGGTGGTGTGTAGGGAGCAATTCTCAGATGCCCAGGCCTCTTCCAGGCTTTATAAGGGTTGTGAATGTCCTCAATTCCTCATGACAAATCCTTTTCTTTCTAGAGTAGTTAGCTGGTTGCTGCCACTGAATCCTGACTTAGGGACTTGTAATCACTTTGTTGGTAGAAACTCTGTGATATAAAATGATATAAACGACCCTGCCTGTTAGCTGACGGAAGCAGATGGCAGATAATTCAGTAAAAGTTTTAATAAGATGGTGTTACGTGCTACAGGTAAAAACAAAGTTGGTAAAGGGATGGGGAGCGCAGGAGATGAATGTTTCAGTTTTAAATAGGGTGCTTGTGGAAGGCTTCTCTGATAAGGTGACTTTTGAGACCTGACTATCTATTATGTCAGTTGTGTGCAAGGCTGTGGCGGAGTTCCTGTGTTAAGATACTTCTTTCCTTAGATAACCCCCTAAGTGATGCTACTATTTTCCATCTCTAGGCCAGTATATCGTTTACCCACAGCAAACATGGCGGAAAAGGCTTCAGTTCGACACTGGGCTTCCTCTCCTCCCATAAAGATGGCTACAGCACTTCCGGTGTTTTGCCCCCAATAAAGATGGCGACAACACTTCCTGTTGAGGGCTTTCGCCTTCAACAAAGATGGTGGTTATGGTACAGGTTACCTAGCAGTCTGGATTCCGGTTGCGGTTTCTTTCTTTCTCTCTCTCTTTTTTTTTTTAAATATACGTGTTTGCAGACGTAAGTAACAGGAAACCAGCAACCCCGTATCCATTTTTTCACGAAGGCCCGCACCGTGGCGTCTGCGGCCTGGGCCCTGCGTGGCTCCCCCGCTGGCACCCCCCCCCCCCGCAACTTGTTCGCCGCATTTCCGAGCCGGGCCCGGGTTGGGGTGGCGGTAGGGATGGCGCGGGGGTGGGGACCGCTCCCCCTTCGGTCCACTCTGAAATCATCCCCAACACCCACTTTTTAGATTGTCAGATTGCCCCGAAAATCCCTCATAGTTTTTCCTGTTCATAACACAACAGGATTCAGCTGGCGAGGCAGGGAATAAAAAGTTCCAAATGGGCGTTGGCGGCCCAACGTGTACACCCTACCCCTCACCTGCCACCTCCTGGACTTCACCGAGGGCTGCTCAAAGGAGTGGGGTCGGGTCGCTGGCCGATTGTACTTTCTGTGGGTTCCCGGAAGCCCCATCTGTCCCCCACCCCCTTTCTTTACCTTCATAGCCTCCACACAAGCGCCTTCAAACTCGCGCAGTGGTCTTGAAAACAAGCCTTAAAATCGTGCCTGGCTTACTGACCACGACTGGTGTGTGGACATTTTTTTCTTGTAAAGGAAAAAAAAATCCCCATTAAATGTCCCATACACATGTAGTCCGGGCAGTGTTGTGAAAGAGATTCGGAATTCTTGGAAGCGGTAGAGTCTGTGACCATATATAAAGTTTATTGGAGAGGCACACAGAATAAATATTTTTTCTTGGAGGTGATGGTGTATAGGGCTTTTTTCTTAGGGAGGAGAACCTCAAACTTACTGGTACTTAGCAGTTTCTGGCGCCCACTCCCATGGCTATGCAGGTTCAGCAAATGCCGACGGTCAAAAGGGCATCTGCATGCATGCTGGCCGTTTCTCTGGTATTGGGGTGTATCTGATGAAGGCTGTGTTAAAATAAAGCCACTGTTTCTTTTTAAGTAGGTTAAACTGAAATGCTGCTCTGTAATTCTCAGATCATAGCTTCTTTTTAAGCAGGGTCAGCAGCCCAGTTTTTTCCAAATCTCTTTATCAAGCAAGGAACGGTGCTAGGAACCATTGTGTGGAAAGCAAAAATAGAAAAGATGGTTCACATTCAGGTGGTTCATTATGTTTGGAAACATTCAAAAATTAATTTGCTTTGGCTTAACAGCTGTGTACTAAACACCATGGCCTGGACTCTGCTGAGGTTCAAAGTGGTACCTGACCTTAAGGATCTTGCATTGCCTGTGGGACGCTGTGTTTAGGGGTTGGTCAGCTCCCGGTAATCTGAGCTCCATTTTGTCTCTTCCCAGGGAGAAATGGAGGCTAGAGACAAGCAAGTGCTTCGCTCCCTTCGGCTGGAGCTGGGCGCCGAGGTCCTGGTGGAGGGACTGGTTCTTCAGTATCTTTACCAGGAAGGGGTCTTGACAGAAAACCACGTTCAAGAAATAAAAGCTCAAGCCACAGGCCTCCGGAAAACAATGCTGCTGCTGGATATCCTACCTTCCAGAGGTCCTAAAGCATTTGATGCGTTCCTAGATTCCCTGCAGGAGTTTCCCTGGGTTAGGGAGAAGCTGGAGAAGGCAAGGGAAGAAGCTGTAACTGAGCTGCCTTCAGGTAGGCCTCAAAAAGATCACTGCAAACCAGCTGCAAAATTGTTGAAACTGTGTCCTTTGCATGTGAAGATGTGAAGTTGGGGTTTTAGGCTGAGAGTCGGGAAGAGTTTGGACTGAAGGCCCGCGGCATTGGAGGTATAGGATGAGGAGGTGGAATTAGGAAGTGCACGGAGGGAAGAATGAGCCATGATCCCGAGAGTGAGGCGGGAGGTCAGGGAATACACTTAGAAATGCTTCCAGGGAAAGTTGGCAAGTCACTGGGGAGGCATGTTCTCATCTGAGAGCCAGGTCATATCTCAGCCCTTGGCATTGGGCGCCATTTGGAAAGTGCAGATGGGAAAGCAGGCATTAGGCTTACTGGTAATGGATTTGTGGGGTGCCAGAGAGGCCGGCCGGAGAAGGTCAGCTTCATGAAGGAGGAGACAGCCTCTAGGAAGGCATGCCTTGCACCTGTTCCCTAGGCTACCCTGCACGGCCAAAGGGGATTATTTAGAAAGCTGTTTAAGTAAGTTTTTAAAGGTTATTGATTTCAAGTCGGTCTTTTAAATTTGGCTTTGTTCAGACACCCAGAGCATTCAATGTTATAGGACTAGTAGTTTGGGGAGGGTCGCATTTTGACTTTAAAGAATGTTGGATGGGGCGCCTGGGTGGTAAGCCTCTGCCTTCAGCTCAGGGCATGATCCCAGGGTTCTGGGATTGAGCCCCGCAGCGGGCTCTCTGCTCGGCAGGGAGCCTGCTTCCTCCTCTCTCTCTGCCTACTTGTGATCTCTCTCTGTCAAATAAATAAATAAAATCTTAAAAAAAAAAAAACAACAAACTCAACATTAAAAAAAAAAAAAAAAAAGAATGTTGGAAGCTATGGAGAAGAGAAACAGTCCCGGTGCAATGAGCCTGGCTTGTCGCAGGATGGAGACATGATGTGAAACATTTTCCCTCTTAACAACTCCATGACTTTTACTGTCTTACAAAGTTGGAGGAGCAGAGAACTGAGTTGGTAAAATAATTAAATTAATTAAATTAATAAATTATTAATTAATAAAATAAATTAATTAAAAATAAATAAAGAAGAAAACATCTATAAATAAAATAAAATAAAATTTAAAAAGACATAAAATAAAAAAATAAAAAAATTGCGAGTTGACTTGCAAATTTGAAACAGTTAGGAAATGATAAAAAGTAGTGATAGTTTGAACTCCTCCGGGACAGTGGTCCTCAGACTTCCTTGTTGCAGTTGTAAAAATACCAGCATAACCGGTTATAAAACAAATGCCAGTAATAAAAGACCAGTTTTATTATTTTTGCCCCATGGAACCTCATATTTGTTTTCATTTTGGGGTTTTTTTTTATGGACCTTATATTTTGAATGATTTTTCAGACCCCAAGTGCTAACTAATCATGATGAATCCTTTCGTTTTTATTAACGACAGATGTCTGGATATCTGCTCTGCACGAGGTAACCCCTTAACTTAGGAAAGCTTGGTTAAATTGCAGGGAAAAAACAAACACATTTTCATTTCCTAGCATGGCCGAATTACAAGTAAATGTGTTTTAGGCTTTTTGAAATATTGAAAATAGCTGTCCTTTCAGGGCCCCAGGAATTCTCAAGTTTGAGTGTCCTTCCAAAATTAAGTACTTCAGGTGTGTGAACAAATCCAAACTAAAGGAGCTAAGACATTTCTACCATTTCCCTGAAAGCAGAATAAATAAGGTAGAACTGGGGACAGGTTAAGAGAAGTATTAGGGTACCCAGTGTCTTTTCCTGGTATTTGACTTTGAGATTCCTCTTGGCACCAGATAGTTGGAAAAAAAAAAAAAGGAGTGAAACAAAACACTGTTACTACCAAAATATTTCATTTAATTTTACAGTCATTTTGGGTGATGTAACTAGTCCTGTTGTACGTTGTTCATAGAGGTATGACCCCCCATTTTTGCTTTTTCAGATTTATTCAGAGAATGAGAAAAAAATTATGATTTTTTTAACCAAACAGTGAAAGTTACACAGAAGTTGAGGGAAAACTAGTTGTTTTTTAAAGTAAACAAAATGAAACAGTGAAACATGAGAAAAAATAGTGTGTGTCTGTGTGAAAAATATTGATTTGTTAGCTCTGTGGAAGTGTTCAAAGGGAAGGATAGGTTGGTTACTGTACAGATTTTAAGTACTCTTGTTTTACTTTTTGTCAGAGTAACGCGGCTATTGAAAAATGTTTTGAAGAGAGAGTTTGATTTACGTATGTTTTCTATATACCTTTTGCAGTGATAATAACATAAACTTACTTTTAAAATAAGTTTTGTTGGGGCGCCTGGTTGGCTCAGTGGGTTAAAGTCTCTGCCTTCGGCTCAGGTCATGATCCCAGGATCGAGCCCCACATCAGGCTCTCCGCTCAGCGGGAAGCCTGTTTTCACACCTCTCTCTCTCCGCCTGCCTCTCTGCCTGTCAGATAAATAAATAAAAATCTAAAAAAAAATTAAATATACTAAGTAAAAATATACTTAAAATATTAAAAAAATAAAATAAGTTTTGTTAATTATTGAGTATTTTCAGTAAGATTATAAAATACAAGTAAGGTATGGGGAATAATGGTGCCAGGAACACCTGTCTCCCCATCACTAAGTTTTTTTAAAAAATATTTTATCTATTTATTTGTCAGAGAGAGAGCACAAGCAGGAGAGTGGCAGGCAGAGGGAGAAGCAGACTCCCTGCCAAGCAGGGAGCTTAATGTGGGACTCGATCCCAGGACCCTGGGATCATGACCTGAGCCAAAGGCAGACACTTAACTGGCTGAGCCACCCAGGCACCCCCCATCACTAAGTTTTTTTTTTAAAAATTACCATTGCCTTTGAGGACCCTAGGTGTTCCTCCCCAGGCCTACCTTAGCCCCAGCCCCTACTTATTGGTAAATCCTGAATTTGAAGTTTATCATTCCCTTCTTCACTCTGTAGTTTTCTCCCTCATAAAAATCACTTTTTAAAATCCACTTACAGAAAATCCGCAATACCTTAAGTTTTAGGAAGATATATAAAGATATAAATTAAAAAAATTATAATGTGTGTGAGAGACTAAGCGATGGAGGAAATGATAGACTTAATTTAATTAATTAATTATTTGGGAAATGATACATTTTAAAGGAGTTCTTAGTTAACATCCTTCTCTTATTTGGGACCTTAAATTTTCAGTGTTTATTTAAGTTGATGGTGATATTTTAATTCTAAAATTCATTGAGACTTAATTAATTGAAAACCTAAGGGGTTTTTTTTTGTTTTTTTGTTTTTTTGTTTTTAATGCTGGAAAGAGTTTCAGAGTTGAGATGCCTTCAGTTTAATATTCACGTACGAAATGCAGATGGATGCAGAGGTCTATTTCCCAGGACTCTGTGCTTCTCTAGTGTTTTAAGAGTAATTTAAATAAGCTTTTAAAAAGTCCATTTAAATTTTTGTAAAGGCATTTTTGAATTTTGAGGAACTAAACTGTAGGAAGATATGGAGCTTATGTATTATGTGTATATATTAACCTTGTCTGATCTTTTACTCGTTTTGATTATCATTATTTATTAATTTGTGTAGGTTTCATGGTCCCTTCTTGGGAGGTCTGAGAACCAATGGGCAGGAATGGCTCTTTGGCCAAAAGGCTGAAAATTCTCCAAGAATGAACTGATTTAATTTTATTAAGAAGTGTTCTTGTTTTGGGCTTGTCAGAGAATCGTGGTTTCCTCTTTGCTTATTTAATTTCTGCGTTTCACTTGTAAATTTTGAGTTGTCTCAACAGGCCCTATTTGGTGACAGATTCTAGTTAGTTGCTTTTTATTAGAGAAGAATCCACTTGTATCTTAATCCTCTCTGGTCTCTTAAACCCTACCCCCAGGAAATCCCAAAACATAAAAAAACACTTTATACCTTTGTTTCTTTCAGAGTCTACCTAACTGATGGGCCTTCCTATTTATGTTAAAAAAAAAAAAAGTCTAAGATGTTAATGGATAATTGATTTTGTGTTTTTCTCACCCTCTAAAATATAAGAGGACTCTTACATTTTAGAAGAGAAATTCTGGCAATAATATTACTTAAGCCAGCTTGGCACTGTGGAAGGGACACTTCATAATGTGTGGCTTTCTGGCCAAGGTCACATAGTAGACAGTAGATCAGCTGGCAGTCCTCTCTGGGCTCCTGTTCTTTCAGGAGATGAGAACAGCGCTGGGTCTGCGTGTAGGCAGCATGTGCCCGCCTGCCTGGCTTTCTGCTGCTTATGGGCCCTGTCTGCTGGCAGGCTCTCCCTAGTGCCTGAGCTAATCTGGATCTGGAAAAGAGGTTTATGGGAGCCCAAGTCTCACCAGCTGGTGGGACTTAGCCTAAGTTCTGGTAGGAGTGATTCCTGGGCCCCAGGACTCCCTGTTCCACTGTGTTGGCCCTGTTTGTGGGACCGGGTCTCTGCTGTGATTCTCACTTACCAGTCAGCCTGGCGACTTTGCCTTTAACTCCAGTCTTAGGTTAGGCTTAGGAGTTTTTTCCTCCTCCCTCCTCTGTAGGCTAGAGTCTGGCTTTATGCCCTCTTAGCCACTGGCAAGGATGAAGGACAGATGTCTTGGAACGCAGCTTGGTGCCTCATATGTTAGCATCAGATGCCTCAACACTCAAGCCTCCTGAGGCTCTTTGCTCCAGCTTTGCCTGAGCTTAAGCTGATCCTTACCATGGACCTTGTGCCCTGACACTGGCTGCCCTCCATGGCTCAGGATGCAGGCCTGGTCTGCTTCCTCTATCCAAGGGCTTCGGGGCTCAGGCTGTTCCTTTTGGAGCTGGCCTTGTGTAACCATGCAGACGCGTATCAGCTACTATCTCAGAATCTCTTCTGGTTCGCAGATGTATACTTGGATGCATCTGAAGTTACTGAGCAATAATGGCAACAATCTTGGGGATTGTAATAGGTTTACTGGAGAGATTTCTAGCCTGGGATTCTCCAGTCATACCATGAATTGGCCCTACTCTGCATGTAATAAGTTGGGTGTTGATCTC